CCTTCTTGAAGTGTGGGGCCCAAAACTGGACACAGTACTCCAGATGAGGCCTCACCAATGTCGAATAGAGGGGAACGATCACGTCCCTCGATCTGCTCGCTATGCCCCTACTTATACATCCCAAAATGCCATTGGCCTTCTTGGCAACAAGGGCACACTGCTGACTCATATCCAGCTTCTCGTCCACTGTCACCCCTAGGTCCTTTTCCGCAGAACTGCTGCCTAGCCATTCGGTCCCTAGTCTGTAGCTGTGCATTGGGTTCTTCCGTCCTAAGTGCAGGACCCTGCACTTATCCTTATTGAACCTCATCAGATTTCTTTTGGCCCAATCCTCCAATTTGTTTAGGTCTTTCTGTATCCTATCCCTCCCCTCCAGCGTATCTACCACTCCTCCCAGTTTAGTATCATCCGCAAATTTGCTGAGAGTGCAATCCACACCATCCTCCAGATCATTTATGAAGATATTGAACAAAACCGACCCCAGGACTGACCCTTGGGGTACTCCACTTGATACCGGCTGCCAACTAGATATGGAGCCATTGATCACTATGAGGGCCCTTGTGGCCCGGAGGATTTGAAAAAAATCCCCCCATCGCTGGAGAGCAAGCTGTACCTTGTTGCGGGAGCCACGGACATCCTCTAAAACCTTCCGCAGCTCTCCTTGCAGCTCATGGGGGGGTGGGGTTACGGTTTCCCGGTTGTTCCCTGGCGGGGCCCTTGGTGCAGCCCCGTGGTCCACTAAAATGGACAAGCAGGGTGCAGACCCCCAATGGGGTGCCTGATGGGCTGGAGCTTCTAGGCTTGCCTCAAGTCCTGGGGCGATAGGGGGCGGTGGAGGGAAAATGGCAGCCCCTAATGGGTCGGGGCAGGAGAATGCAAAGGCCGCTCCCTCGGGGTCATCGATTGGAAAAGGGAAGGAGACACCCCCGGGGGCGGCAATAACATCGCAGGAGGTAGACTGGATAGGGGCAGGGGCAGAGGTGAGGTTCTGGGTTTCGGGAGGCAAGCAGCTGGATGGTGGCACCTCCCGATCAGGCTCGAGGGTTAAGGGGGTCGGAAGGGATCTCTCAGTGATACCGGGTACGGGCTCTATGGTGGATTTAGCGGCCACAGTATCAGGAGGTGGATAATCTTCTGTTGGGCCCCCGCCTGGGAAGGAAGTCGATTGCTCCGCACCAACGGGGGGTTCCCGTGGTGATTCATGCCCCGGCCACGTGGCGCCCGCTGTCACCTGAACAGGCTCGGTGGTCATCAGTGGGGTGCCATAAGTGACCGGGTCGATGGAGGAGTCCAGGGGCTCCTCGGAGGTGGGAGCAGAATCAGCAGTTAGGGGGAGGGAGCATGGGGAAAAGAGGGGTGGAGTGAGGTCGCCCAAATCAAGGTTTGCTGGCAAAAGGTTGTCCTCCCCCTGGGTGACTGGGGTCAGATCCAGGGCCTTGATCTCCTCGAACATGGAGGATAGGACACTTTTCGTTGCCCCGGGGTTCTCCCTGCTGGCACCCGCCACGACGGTTGCCTCAGGGTTCAAGGGGGCTTCGGGTAGTGTCAGGACAGAAGGGGCTTCTTCGAGGGTCTCGGAGGGGAGGGTCTCCCATGGAGGGGAGACACTACCTTCCGGTACTACCACGTCTTTCCCAGCTGACACCGGTGGATGGGACGCACCCGTGGGCAAAGCGAAAGGTTCGGCATCGGTGGCCCCCTTCCAGGTCTTCCGGGGGGCCTCCGCCTTGGGTAGATGAGGTGGAGCTCAAGCCTTCCGCTTGCCTCGCTTCCCCTGGACTAGGGCCCAGCCCTCCATGGCATCATCTGGGGGCTGGTTAGCAGGGGTTGTATCAGGGGGTAAAGGCGATGGCTCAAGGACTTGGGGGGGGGGACAGGGAAGGTGGGGTGGCATAAGGGAGGGAGGATTCTCCCTGGGGCAGGCTCTCTCCCATGCCTGGTGGTATCTCTGCCACACCCTCCTCCATAGGCCCTGCCAGATTGTCAGCAGCCAGGGCGGGGCTCTCCCGCTCGTCTGGGCATTGTAGGGGAGGTGCCCCTTGGGCCTGAGCGGGAGAAGTGGTGGTCTGAAGAGGGGGTGGGTGGGTTCAGGTACTGGGTGGCCAGGGGCATTGGCAATGATGGGGCTGATGTCCTGCCGGGTCTCAGGGATCCCAGGTGCCCCTCCTTGCCGGGCTAAGGGGCAGTCCATCCAGACACGCCCTGATGCCCAGCAGAGGTAGCACCGGGCTTCCCCCGTGGAGAAGTACACCCGGTAACGGGCCCACCTGGTGGGGGACCAGGAAGGACCCCTTGAGCGTCACGCGCCGCCAATGGCGGTAGAAGCTGCACTTGCCGGCGGAAGGAAAAGATGTGACGGAGGGTGGGGTCCTTGCAGCCCAACGGGAGAGGGCTGTTGACAGAGACAGGTTTCCCCAGGGTGGAAAGGGCGGGTAACAAGGCAGCACTGGGGAGAAAAGGAGAGACAGAGGTCAGGACCAGGCGGACGCCCAGGTCCTCTAGTGGCTCTAGGGGGACAAACACCTCCCCCCCCCACCGCCTCCTGGGCGGCAGCCTCCAATGCTAAGAAGAAGACGACCTTCCCGTACATTTTGGAGGCCGCCACAATGGCCAAGGGCCCCACCACCCTCGCCAACGCCCGCACGTAGGTCTCCACCTGGGGTGAGGCGGGCACCAGGGAAGGGGCCCTGGCAGCTGTTGATGGTGGCGGAGGTGGTGGGCAGGAGAGATGACGAGGCAGCAGGCGGGGGGGCCACCGCCACCTGGGCATACGTCCTGGGGGGTGAGGGAGGGACACCCGCAGAACTGGTGGAGGGGGCAGCGGGGGAGGATGCCGTGGTTGGTGGCGGGGCCGCAGCAGTGGGGGTGGCCCCTGCCACGGAGGGCCCGGTGGTTTTAGCGGGGCCCTTCCCCTTCTTCTTGCCCTGGCCTTTCCCACCGACTGGGGGGGCTCCCCTAGAGTCTGGGGAGGCAGTGGGCATGGCAGCGGTGGAGGTCACCCTGGTGCCCTCCATTGCTGATGCCCCAGCAGGGGCGGTGGCAGGTGGTTAACAGGAGTTGGGGTCAGGTAAAAAGGGACAGGCTGTGGAATGGGCAGTTCGGGGGGGGGGCACATGAACCACCGTACGCTTGTCCAGAGAGTCCTGTTTGGTTGGCTGGTGCTTCTGGCCCACGCGGTGGAATCAGGGCGAGCAGCTAAGTCCGGAAGCAGATGTTAAACAGCCAGCAATGACGATGGAGGGGGCAGTGATGAGGATAGTAGTGTGTGTGTGGGGGGACACACAGATGGATCGAGAGGCAGCTCCGTGCCACACCCCTGTGTCCCTACAAACCCAGTCACGACACAGTCAAGGCCTCCCCCCACCCGAGAGCACAGTTCGAAAGTTACTCAGTCTTGGGCCCCTCCACGGCGATTTGTAGATTTCCCGGGCGATGTTCCTCCTGTAGACGGCTGTTTCTCTCTCTGTCCCGGGTCGCAGCTGCAACGTTCCAGGGATGCCGGAGCAGGTGATAAGAAATTCTCTCAGCCAGAGACGGGTCCGCAGACAAACAGCAAGCGGCTGGGTCTGGGGGCTGGGTCCTCCCCCTCTGGGAAGCGGGCCCGCAGGCCCCCACTCTCTGGGGGGGGGGGTTCAGCTGGAGCAGCAGCAGCGTCCGAGGGCGGGGGGGGGGCTAACAGCTGGCCGGCAGCTGGCCAGCACCCTAGCAACAGTAGAGAAAGAAAACAAAAGAAAACAAAAGAAAAGAAAGGGGGGAGAGTGTCTGGCCTGGTCGGGGGGGGGGGGGGCAGGGAGCCAAAAGCAGGGGCAAAAAGCAAGGAAAGCCCAGGCCAGAGGGCAGCAGCAGGAGAGCAGGCTAAGTAGTCCCTTTTCCCTGGGTAAGGTAACAGGGAAAGTTCCAGAACAATCAGGAACCTTCTGGAGACAATTAAGACAGGCTGATTAGAACACCTGCAGCCAATTAAGGCAGGCTAATCGGGGCACGTGGGTTTTAAAAGGGAGCTCACTTCAGTTTGTGGGGTGCATGTGAGGAGCTGGGAGCAAGAGGCACTAGGAGCTGAGAGTGAGAACGCGGACTGTTGGAGGACTGAGGAGTACAAGCGTCATCAGACACCTGCGGTGAGGATAAAGAAGGGGTTGGGAGGAGGCCATGGGGAAGTAGCCCAGGGAGTTGTAGCTGTCACAGAGCTGTTCCAGGGGGCACTCTAGACAGCTGCATCCCACAGGGCCCTGGGCTGGGACCCGGAGCAGAGGGCGGGCCCGGGTTCCCCCCAAACCTCCCAACTCCTGGTCAGACACAGGAGGAGTCGACCTGGACTGGGGGGTTCAGAAAAACGGCCAAGCTGAGGTCTGCCGTGAAGCTCCAAGGCGAGCAAATCCACCAATAAGCGCAAGACCCATCAAGGTAGAGCAGGAATTTTGTCACAATACACATGCGCAGCCAACAATGAACAACGGGGAACTTGTTCTCCCTCTTGTCATAACATAACAAGGGACATTCAAAGAAATTAAAAAGTGGCAAACTGAAAACTGATAAAAAGGAAAGACTTTCATACAGTGGGCAATTAAACTGTGGAACTCATCACTACAGGATGTTAAGGGCAAGAATTTAGAAAAGGTTAAAAACATTTATTGAATAAAAATATCCAGAGTTATAATTAATGCTAACAGATATTTTGAAGGGATATTAAACCTTGTACTTCAGGGTTTAAGCAACTTCCTAATGATAAAAAGAAAAGGAGGACTTGTGGCACCTTAGAGATTAACCAATTTATTTGAGCATGAGCTTTCGTGAGCTACAGCTCACTTCATCAGATGTATACCGTGGATAATGATAAGGGATTAGGATGAGACCTAATATTGGCAGGGGCAGATTATCCTACATTTGCCTAGTTTGCAATTCTTACTCCTTCCTCTGATGCATCTGGTGCTGCTCACTGTCAGAGCCAGGACCCTGGGCTGGCGGGACCTTGGGTCTGATTGAGCGTGGTCATTCCTGCCTCACTGGGAGTTTTGCTGGAGTACAGGCTGGGAAAGCCCTCCCAGATTCGGGCTGGCACACACGAGCTGCTTCCACCTTGTGTGGACTCTCTGGTGTTTTTGCAGCGTCCCCTTGACAGTGAAGCTCTTCCCGCACTCAGTGCACGTGATGGGCCGCTCCCCCGTGTGGATCCGCTGGTGCACTTTGAGGTTGCCCTTGGTGGAGAAGCTTTTCTGACAGTGGGTGCAGGTGAGCGGCCGTTCCCCTGTGTGCACTCGCTGGTGTGCAGGAGGCTGCCCGGCTGCGTGAAGCGTTTCCCACGCTGGCTGCGCATGTATGAGCGCTCCCTGGTGTGGATCCTCTGGCGCATCTCGAGCTCCCTGGGGGAGGCAAATCTCTCCTTGCACTCAGCACATGCAAAGAGCCTCTCGTGCACGTGGCTCTTCTGGCGCGTGTTGAGCGTGGCCTTCTGGGCGAAGCTCTTCCCGCACGGACAGCCGGTGAGCGGGCGCTCCCCCGTGTGGCACCGCTGGTGTACCAGGAGATTCACCTTCTGAGTGAAGCTCTTCCCACGCCCCGCCCGTTGGAAAGGCCGCTCCCCGCTGTGCGCCCTCTGGGGCAGTTTGAGGATGTCTTTCCTGGTGAAACGTTTCTCACACTCCGTGCACGGGAACAGCCGCGTCCTGCCGTGCGTCCTGCCGGGCACCTTCAGAATGGCCTGACGAAGTGCTTCCTGCATTCAGGGCAGGGATCGGGGTCACTGTGTCCCCCCCGGACACGTGGTCTGGGGGCAGGGATCGGGGTCACTGTCCCCGTCCCCCCCAGAGACGTGGGCTGGGGCTGCCCGGGGCCAGCGCTACCTGAGCAGAGCCACCTGCAGCCATTGCCCGGGCCTGGGCCCTGCCCTCCAGCTCCCGCTGCCCGCCGGGCCGGGGTTTGTCTCTGCTGCTCCCAGCAGTTCCTCCGGCAGGAAGGGGTGGGCCGGGGAGGGGGTCGCTGAGCGGAGTCGGACCCAGCCACGTCGGGCTCTGGGACCAGGCTAGTGACCCACGCCTCCCCCATACCCAGGCACTGCCCCTACACTCCTCCTGCAGGCAGGGGCTGGCCTGGGCATGGATTTACACCGCCCCACGAGTGCCACTCAGGAGTCACTGGTGCGCTCCACCCCAGAGCTGGCTGCTTTCCAGCAGGGCACCACTCGGCTTGCAAAGTGCTTCAGGTAAAAGGCCTCCCCACCTCCGTGTACAAAGCAACCGGAGATGCACCATCTCTGCCCACAAGACAGGGCCCGCACCACGCCCCTAGCATCACGGAGACCGTTGTTGCCTAAAAAGGGGGAATGGCTAGAACCGGTCGACTCGCACCAAGCGAGGCTGTAGCTGCACATCCTGCAGCTGCTGCCCTCATCCTCCCTCCCCCGGCTCTTTGGGTCACCCCCTGGGGGCACGTGCTGTGTGGCTGGGAGCTGAGCAGCAGGGCTCAGGGCAGGGTGAGCGGGTGAAGCTAGGCAGGAGGTCAGACTGGATGATCCGTTGATCCCGGCTAGTCCTAAATTCAGGCAGCAGAGCACTGGCTAGGCAATCTGGGGGTTGTAGGATCAGGGCCTTAGATCATAAGCTCCTCAGAGCAGAGACTGTCTCCTTCTGGCTTTGGGCTGGATGCAGGACACCGGGGCCAAAGCCCGACTGGACCCACTGGGGGCTCCTCCATCATCACTGCTACCCGTGTGATCACTGTAGCACCAGCGCATACACCCATATTAATAACCAGCAGGGGCATCGCCCTCCGCTCCCCGCCCCAGCTGCCTGGGACGCGGGACACAGCAGAGTGGAACCTGCCCGTTCCCATCCTTGTCTGGGCGACGCGCTGGGCACACACGTCCCTGGGAACAAATGCAACTCGCAAAGAAGGACGACGCATCACAAAGCGTATGTTGCACACAGGGCCCAGGGAGTCAATGGAGGAAATAGGGGACTTTCAGATTTAGCGGCTGATCCAAGCAGGACCAGGAGCTGTCTGCTCTGGGGGCGGGGTCCCAACACCCGCACCACTTTGGATACAGGCTGCAGATTTCTGTTCCCCAGCAGCTGAGTCCAGCAGCGATGAACGCAAGGCTGGAATGCTGCTGGGGGCCAGGACTCCAGGCTGGGGTTTGCTGACGAGGCTCAGAAGTGCTTGGAAAAGGACTGAGATGGAGTCCAGGTGACCAACCCTGCAGGCTACGGCGTCCCTACAGAGTCCAAGACCTCATCTCGAGAAGATCCCAGGGGAATGCACGTCCTGCAGGCAGAAGGGTTTGGTTGAAACTGTGCACTTCAGTATCTGGAAGAGCGACACAGTGGAGAGGTTTGTATAAAGAGCAGTAGATTTACTAGCTACCAGCCTTTGTCTGAACGTTATTAATACATATTCCAAGTTTTGCTGACACGGCCAGGGTCACGCAGGATGGGTCCTGGGGCATATGCTCTCCACCGTGGAGCCCAGCCCCATTCTCAGCCCAAAGCCCAGGTGCCAGGCAGGGAAATAGTCCTAGTGGGCTCTGGAGCTACGTCCACACGGCACAGGGCAGCGACTCGGAGCCCAACTGCACAGGCTCAAGCCGACAGTGCTAAAAACAGCTGTCGATGGTGGGGCTCAGGCTGGAGCTCAGGCTCTGAAGCCCACCTGCTCCCCCAAGCTTCAGCGTCTGCCCTACAGCCCGCCATCTCCACGGTCAGTTTTAACACCGCCGCGTGAGCCCTGCGAGCCCCAGCCTGTTGGCCCAGGCTCGGAGTCGCTGCTGCTCAGGGTAGACGTACCCGGGTTTCTCCTCGAGGGGTACGGATGATGGGCCAGGCTCCCTCCGGGAACAGGCCAGCCCGAGCCTGCTTGGCTGCAGCGTGAATGGAGGAGCCGGGTTCTGCTGTGGTATTAATGCAGCAGCAATCAGCGCTGCCGTGGGGGTGAGGAGATCGGGAAAGGGTCCTTGCACCTACAAAGCCCGGGGCATGGAAAGGAACAGGCAGCTTCTGGTGCTGTTTATTGGACCGGCCAGGGTCTGAATGGGGAATCCCCTGCCTGGCTGTATCCGTGCAGGGGAGCTGCCTCTGCCTCACCATTGTGGGGAGCCAAGACTCCCACTGAACCCTGTCACAGGGTCCCCAGGCGATGCTCTGGATCTGCTCCCCACGAAGCCAGTCAGGACACTGGGGAAGTCTCCTCTCTGGGAGCAGCCTGTCTGCAGGACACACAGCTCACCCAGCTCCACCTTCCTGGGTCTGACCTCGGAGCATTCAGCCTCCTCTGCCCCTCCGTGCGCTTCCCACAGCGAGTCCGCCCAGGCGGGGTCCTGGGGAAGCCAGAGGGTCCTGCCCCACAACTCTGCAGTCAGACTGGACTCTCAGCCAGTGTAAAATGGAAGGTTTATTAGTCGACAGGAACACAGCATAGAACAAAGCTTGTTAGCACAGAAATTAGTAACTTTCAACCAAGTCCATCTTGGAGAATCCCAGGCCAGACACGCTGGCCTCCCTTCTCCAGTCTCCCACCGCAGACTGCCCTGGACCCAGCTGCCTGGCCTCCCTCCGGTCTTCGTCCTGCTTCCTGAGCGAAGTATGACCTGGTCACATTCCCCTCCTGGGTCTCAGGTTAGGAAGGGCACCGGCCATAGCCTACATGCAGGCAACTGGAACCACCTCACCTGCCCCAAGGGCCTCGGCAAAAGTCACACACCCAATTCCCACCACCTAGGCATTGGTGCAGCACACAGGGAAATTGAGGCACGCACAGTATTAGTAAAGTACAGCAAGACTTACATGCAACACAAGGTGAAAAACCTGTCACACCCTGGCTGTTGTCTGGCTGCCTCCCCCCACTTGTCTAACTTTGCGAGCCCTGGGCTGACCCTGGGGCAGGGACTGCCTTTGTTCCCACTCTGTCCAGTGCCTAGCCCAACAAGCCCGGGGTCTCATCTGGGACTGGGCATTGCCACCATGCAGATAACCAACACCACTGCTGCGTACGCACTGATTTGGGTCTTCAGCCTTGTGGGTAGCTGCTCCCCTTGCCCCCCCGGGACCAGCCTCTGCCAGCTCCCAACCGTGACCAGCATGTACACTCGTAATGGCTGCGGAGTCGCAAACAGCCAGAGCCGCGAGGAAAGGGGCTTCCCTTCTCCACCCCGCAGGGGAGTGTCACCGGTTGCGGGCAGCCGTAGTGCTCAGCCAGCACGGTGATGGGGCCAGCGAAGAACCCAGAGACCCAGGCCGCGAGGGGCACCCCCAGAAACCAGGCACCCAAAGTCACTCAGGCCTCTTGGCCTCAGAGTGTAAATGAACCCCAGAAAAGCCTCAACAGGCAGAGCCCCCATCAGAGCGTATCACCCACCCCTTGGGGCCCGATCCTGCTCAGCTGGGACAGGCCCTGTCTCACAGCCTGGCTCTCGCTGGCAGAAGGTAACTGAAGCCAACAGGGTCCAGGTGAGACGCTGGAGGGAAACAGAAGAGTTTCAACAGACATGAAGCCCACTAAGTGCAGGAGACCGATCAGGAAAAGAGGGTTTTGAACCAAAGCATGAACTATGCCCACTGCAGTCATCCTCTGCAGAGCCAGCCGCAAACCTGCACTGGGATCTCAGAGTGCATGGGCAGAAGGGACCATTGTGATCGTCTGTCTGATTGTCTGCAGGCCACAGAACCTCCCCCACCCACTCCTGTAATAGCCCCTCACCTCTGGCTGAGTTACTGACATCCTCACATCACGGTTTAAAGACTTCAAGTTCACTTGCAAGTTTAAACTAACCTGGGCCCCACGCTGCAGAGGAAGGTGAAAACCCCCCAGGGTCTCTGCTAATCTGACCTGGGGGGGAAATGCCTTCCTGACCCCAAATACCGTGATCAGTTAGATACTGAGCATATGGGCAAGACCCACGAGCCAGACACCTGGGAGAGAATTCTCTGTAGTAACTCAGAGCCCTCCCCAGCTAGCGTCCCGTCACCGGCTGGCAGGCCGTGGTGTCTGACTCTGCAGTGTTGCAGGATCAGAACCAAGCAAAGCTACAGGCCTAGGACAAGCTGCCACTGGGCTCTTGGCTAGGCAATGCTCGGACACCCCTGCAGTAAGGTGCAGCAAGTTGAACAGAGAGCAATGCAACACACTGCACTGACTGTGTCCAAGAGCTCTGCTTTATTTCACTGTTACAGTTCCATGTTTCTGGTCTACGGTCACAGGCACACACAAGTCAGGCTGGCGGCAGATACCCCTGTTCCCAGTGACTCATGCTGCATAACCAAGAAGGGCAGAAATCCACGTGGGATTTTGTTCAAGGCAACAGGGATAGCAACATTTGAGTCTACACGAAGGCTATATTTGAACACTAGATGTTGTCATAGGACAGACGAAAGGGTCAATGGATACATTAGTTTAGGAGGATGAACAACCTCCCCCCTGCAGAATCAAAGCCCCAAGCCCCAGGGCAGGTGTCCCATAGGGCTGGAAGGACATATCTGACATCCCTTTTTCTTCTACGCTGGGAGAGTCGGCAGCAATCAGCCCCAACGTCCAAATCACTGGGCAGCTATTTTACTTTACACAGTCGACGCTCACAGCCGTACTCCCCCTGGACAGCCAGCCAAAGCAGGGGCCTCACTGCAGGGGACCAGGATGTTTCTCATCAGAGGAGCAGCAGATAAAGGGTTAAATGTGCTTCTGTAACCACCATGCACCTCCGTCTGCTCTCAGACCCAGTTTCGCTCTCGAACA